AGGCAGGTCAGCTGCGGAGTCGCAGGGTCAGCCCCAACGAATGCTTATTTCGGGAGTGGGTCTGGGTCTATCTGGCTGGACGACGTTGACTGCAACGGCGAGGAGGGGCTCCTGACTGGGTGCTCGGCGCGGGCTTGGGGAGAGCACGACTGCAGGCACAGCAAGGACGCGGGCGTTGTGTGCTCAGGTGAGGACAGCGTTCGCACGGATCCGTGTTCCTCGGGCAGTCCGGGTCTTGTGACGTCTTGGTGCTGCAGCGCCAGCCCCGGGAGGGCTCTCTGGATGCACAGGGTCTTAGTAAATCACCCTCTCCCCTGCCCCAGGCTGGCCCAAGGACTGCAGCGAAGTCCCCCGTGGCAGCCCCAGCGGTGTCTACGTCATCCAGCCCGCAGGGCTGCACCCCATCGTGGTGTACTGCGAGATGAACGTGACGGACGGGGGCTGGACGGTCATCCAGAGGAACCAGCAGAGCACGGAGATCACCTGGGCCGAGTCCTGGAGCACCTACAAGAACGGCTTTGGGAACGTGCTCACCGAGTACTGGCTGGGCACCGAGTACATCCATCAGATCTCCAAGCAGAAGGTCTACCAGGCCAGGTTTGTCATCTGGGATGCTGCAAACAACATCAAGTTTGCAGACTACAGCTTCTTCAGTGTGGAAGACGAGTCCCAGGGCTACCGGCTGCGGCTGGGAACGTACTCGGGGACAGCGGAGGATGCCATGGCCTCAAAGAGTCCCAGCACTGTGCACGACAACATGAAGTTCTCAGCCAAAGATCAGGATCAGGACACTTCCAGCAGCAACTGTGCCTCCCGCTATGGGGGTGGGTGGTGGTACTCGGCGTGTTACTCTGCACGGCTGAACGTCAAGGGGGCCATAACGTGGGGCAGCCTGTGCAGCGGGAACTGCAGAGCTTCTGCCATCCTCATCAAACCAGCTTCCTACTGCTAGGGCTTTGTCGCTGCTGGTCTGCAGCGGGCACGGGGCCGGGCCAGACCCCTGCCTGGCCCCTTTGCCAGGGGGGAGCAGAGCGAGTGGCAGGGGGGGTCCCCGGGCTCCCAACAGATTCTTCTTTCACCGCTTTTGCTGAGCTCCTCTGCTTCCCTTGCTGGGTTCTTCCGCTCTGAGCTGTTTTTATTTTAATTGCATTGTGATCAGATTGACACGTTGCAAACCCTGTACTTCTGAAACACACCTGCTCTGGAGAATAAAATGTGCTTGAGAAACATAGTGCCTGGGTGAGCATCGTGGGAGAACGTCCTTATCCTTAGCTGTGCGAATGATCCGTGCCTTGCTCTGCAGGGTTTCTGTCACCCCCTCGCCAGCTGGGCTGGGGGGAGGATGGAGATTCCTCATTTCCTCGTAAATCTGAATCAGCCCCCCTTGCTGAAGATGTGGCCTGGACACCTGCACCTGGAGAGGTGTTTCCACCCACGCTGGCTCTCAGCTCAGCGGTTGTTAAAGCCTCCGTTGGAATCCTGTCTCTGAAGCAACCCCTCCAACCTGCAGATGCCTGCTCCATGCCTGCGGCGCGCCTGCACGGGGAGCGAGCAGCCGCGCCAGGGCAGGGCCCGCTTTCTGATCAAAAAAACCCGTGGGACTGCAAGGGAAAGATCAAACAGGGAATTAATCTTCATAAAATGCAGCTACAGGTAAATAAAGAAGCTGCAGGTTTTTGTGGCTGGAAAGCTGGGGGTTTTTGGCGCTGGGGAGGCCTCGGGGAAGGACAGGTAGCTCCGGGTGCTTTGCAGGCGCTGCCAGCCCCGAGGGCGAGGGGCCATCGCCCCGCGCTCCATCGCCCGTCCTGTCCCAGTCCCTGCTGCGCCGTCGCCTTGGGGTGGGCTGTGCGAGCGCAGCTCCGGGTCTCTGCGGGGGAGATGTGGTCCCCGAGCCCCACGTGCTTCCCAGCCTCTGGCTGGAACGCCGGCACGGGTCACAGAGTCACAGAACCCCAGCATGGCGGGGGGGGGAGGGGCCTCCG